GTGGTATGGGAGACAGCGGAGCAGCAAGTGTCAGGCGGGTGCCCACGGATTCAACAAGTGATGAATCGAAGCCCGCGCAATACCAGCATGGTGCAAAGAGCAGCTTGTGACGACCATCGGCATCAGAGCAAGGCACAGTAATTTTGGTGAGGAAGCAGACTAGCATACCTATGCAGGGATAGCATTCTAGTTTGCTTACCGACTGGGATAAAAGGGCATGTTTCCTTGGTGGGTCAGTGCATCCATACCCCCCCCAGGATGATACCTGTAGCCCTTCGGAAGACCATTTCGGGCTAGTGTCCACTTCCAACACTACCCTCATTGGAAGGGCCCACAAATAAGGCACAGGAATTCGTCGATAACACGAATCAAACCCCGGTCCTCCACACTCACCGCACCATGCAGGGATAGTATCTTACTCCGCTAACCAATTGGAATAAAGGGGCAAGTTTCCTTGGTGGGTCAGCACACCCATACCCCCCAGGACGCACCTGTAGCCCTTGGGGAGACCATTTCAGGCCATTCCAGTGTCCACTTCCAGTAACCTTTGAACAGCTAAGACCAGTGACAGTTACTATTGGATACCCGTGCCACCTAAAGTGCAGGAGGCGGAGTCCAGCACCCTCAGCGGCAGGCGAGGAGGCTAAGAGCTAAGGCATCGATAACGACGGGCATGGCGGGCCGAGGCGCAGGCACAGGAGGGGGAAAGGGGGGGGGGGGGGGGGGGGGGGGGGGGGGGAGGGAGGGAAGAGAACAGCGAGGCCGGGGGGGGTCGGGCATCAACATAGCAGCGGCGACGATGGCAGTGGAGGTGGACCCCAACATGCCCGTCACACGATACTTTCGGCGTGCGCACAACCTCAAACGCGCGGTCTGGCGCTCCTCCCCACGCCCCACCCTTCGCTTCCCCCCCCTCCTCTTCCTTGTTCCTTATTTTCGATGAGGATGGAGATTGTGGAGGGTAGCAGCATGGAGCATGGCGTACTAGAGGGAGGAGTAGGCGTGAGTGAAGAGGCAGCGATCGATCTGTACCAAGGTGCGGTTTGGGCTTTCAACAATGCCATTTTGTTGAGGACTGTCTGGAAGAGTGAAGGTCTAAAGGATACCTAAGGGGAGCAGAATGCTTTGAGAGTGTGATTTCGGAATTCCGCTACCGTCGGAGGGTGGCCACTCTATTTTGGTCTTGAAGTGCGTTTGAGCCTGTTTGACCCATTTCATGATAATGGCTAAGGCTTCGGACTTGGAAATGAGAAGACGGACGGAAACATAGCGGGAGTAGTCTTCAATGATGACAAGGAAGTAGAGAAGCCCACTATGAGAACGAACTGGAGCGGGACCCCAAAGGTCCATGTGTATGCAGTTTAGAGGTGTAGTGGATATGGATTGAGCTGGATGATGGGGCTGTTCAAAGGGCTTGCTTTGTGCGCTGTTGAGGCAAGGCGGCCTTGGATGAAAAGGAGGTGATGGAATGGATGGGATGGGAATCCAACCAAATCTCCAATGATAAGTTGGCAGATTAGTTGGACTACGAGGGGATCCCAACTAGATAAGGTTGGGATGATAAATCTACACCCAACCTACAAATAGCCTTCGCGATATAAAAAATAGTATTGACAGTACATTCATAACACACCTCGTAGGCTGTAACGCATCAACCACAGGACAACCGAACACCCACGGAAGTGAGGGGGTGGTGATGGTCCTGGCGACCAAGTGACTTGGTGAACATATTAGCAAGGTTGTAGTTGGAGGGATTAATGCCGAACCTCATGTGCTTGGTGCAGCTATGGAAGCCGAGGCTCTTTGTGAGATGAATGGTGCTTCCATCATCACACCAAAATGTGGGAGGTGGTTGAGGATACCCGAGTTCTGCAAAAATAAAGGAGAGCCAACAGGCCTCCTAGGCAAAAATGGTCTCGGAATACAGCGCTGCCTCACAGGACGACAGTGGAACTGAGGATGATCAAGTGGAGCGCCAACTCACGACTCCACTGCCACGGGTAAAGCAATACCCTTGAGAAGAGCGCCGATTACTGTGGTCATCAAAATATGAAGAATCACTGTACCCCTCAAGGCAAACAGGTGAAGAGTCGCCAAGAGTGAGCAAATAATCATGTGTGCCTTTAAGGTTGCGAAGAACCGGCTTGGCGGCACACCAGTGTTGGTTGGTGAAGCGACCAGGTTCAACGTAGTGAGGTAGTACACTGGCTGGGTAGGCCAAGTCTGGCCGTGTGCACATCATCGCGTACTTGAGGGATCCAACAAGCTCGGGGTATGGCTTGTCAAAGCGCTCTGAGGGAAAAGAAGGTGCAGTGAGCTAGTCCTGGAGAGAGCGTGGGGTAGGGATTGGTGTTGCTTTCTCCAATTTGAACCGCTCTAGGACGTTGTTAATGTAAAATTTATGCGAAAAGGTGATGTGCGGGCTGTGCGATCATGTGTGATTTCCTAGTCCAAATAGTTCGTCACCTTTCCAAGACCCTTCATGGCCAGCTTCTCACAAACTGCGGTTCTGACTGTAGCAAGCTCAGCATGATATTTGTCTTCGACACAAACCAGGATGAAAAAGCGGGGTGGGGTTGCTCTGATGAAGAGGCTGGGATCAGAGGTGGATGGGTGAAAGTCGAGGGACTCCAAGGTGCCTTTGAGCTTGTTGTGCCATTCCCGGGGTGCTTGCTTGAAGCCATACACTGGCCGATTCAGCTTCCATACAGTGTCTGGTGGAAAGGGAGCTGGGAATCCTTGGGCCACTCCATATAGATTCCTTCTCAAAGGAACCCTTGGAGAAAGGCAGAAGACACTTTCATGCAGTTAGCCTCCCTGTCATCTCGAGCAGCAACATAAAAAAGGGAGCGTAGTGTGGGGGTTTTGGGTGTGGGTGAAGACGTCTCAAAGAAGTCCGGTCCTTGCTTTTGGGTAAATCCCTCGGCACAATACCGTGCTTTGAAAACCGGGAGATGACCTGTAAGTCGTTTCACCCGAAAAAAAAAAAAACTCATTTTCCATGAACGATGTTGACGGCGGAGGGAGGAGAGACATCTGTGACAGTCTCCGTGTGAATGAAGGCATCACATTATGCGACAATGGCCCCCAACCACTCGAAGGCGAAGCAGGAGAAGGAGCACGAGGATGGCTTTTGTAGGGTTTGATAGGAAGAGGCGCGATAGGAGGAGTGGGAGCAGGAGCTAGAGGGGGAGGAGAAGGAGCATGAGATTGTAGGTTCTGATATGAAGAGGCGCGGTAGGAGTGGGAGCAGGAGTAGGAGCTTAAGCGGGAGGAGAAGGAGCAGGAGGAGTTGGAACAGGAGGAGATGACTAAGGAGGGGAGGAGGAGGGAAGGAGCGAGGGTGACTGAGTAATGCTAGAAGGAGAAGTGGGTGGTGGAGGGTCCGACATGGTGGAGGGAGCGGGAAGAGGAGGAGATGGGGTGGCAGCGGCAGGAGGACTATCAAAATCAGCTCAGGTAAGAGAAGGAGGAGGAGGAGATGGGGAAGAGATAGAGGGGTAGAACGGGTGAGACTCATAAAAGAAGACATATCGGGTGCGAAAGAGCTTGTTGGTGGCAGGATGGAGAAAAACGTAGCTTGGAGAGTCAGAGTTGTGCCCGAGATACACGGAGGTGATTGTCTTGAGAGCGAGCTTGCCGCTTGCTGCACGACAGGCTTGGGAGTTGAGGGGGATATATGAGGTGCATCTCCATACACGGAGAGGGCGGACGGACGGCTTCTGACCCGTCCATAGCTCAACGGGGGTGGTGTGGGCGTAGTGAGGATGAGGATGGAGATTGTGGAGGGCAGCATCATGGAGCATGGCGTATCCCCAAAGGGAGGGAGGGGCAGAGGCGTGAGTGAGGAGGCAACGATCGATCTGTACCAAGATGCCTTTGGGTTTTCAACAGCCCCGATTGAAACAGCCTTGCTATCAGTGGCCCCGTTAGAGTCGTTATCGTTACTGATGTGCGGCCATCCGTCGGAAGCTTCGCCCGCAGCAGTAGCGCCAGCCGTCTCGTCCACAGATCGTTCGCGGTTGCCGCTCGTGCCTTCTGCGCCACAGGCCACGCCAATTCGACTGCTAGACCGCGTTAGAGGTCTCGCCCTAGACGACCTCGCTGTTGTCAGAGGTCTTGCGGCTGCAAAATGTCTTATTAATACAGGTTTGTTCGCGCTTATTAGGACAATGAGGCTGCCACTATCAAGACGCGATCGTCTTTCCACAACGCCACCTACAAGCGGAGCATTCCACAGTTGAATTAACGAAATGACGGAAAATAATGGTTGAATTGCTGAGAAGCTCGCTGGCGTACGTCCACGTCTGACAAAAAACATCGTGGCCAGACGGACGCCGTCTGCTACTAGCAATGGCGGCAAGCCGAAGCGCAGAATGCAGCAGGAGAAGTGGAGAGCTGACTAGTGACGGTAACGGCCGAGCCAAATGCGACGGTCGAATAGACTGCAGTGATGGACAGGGAAACATCCGCGAGTTAGAAGCCGCGCATGTCGGCACGCGAACCGCTTCCATAGCCGCCCGCCCTTGTTGCCTCCGTGTAGACTGATAGTACAACGCCGTTTCCTTGGTTTTCCCTGGTCGGTCTGGTCTGTGAGACACAGTCGTACACGTTATGATGATTATTTGATTTAAGTTAGTTCTCAGTTCACCACTTCGCAACTCATACACTGGAGACATACACGAAACAAAAGCCAAAACCAGTTTTATTTCCAACAAGCAGCTTTTACATGATGATGTGTTCCAACGAAATTACCTAGATCACGGACACAACACTCTTTATAAGCGGGCACACGCACACACACTTGAGTATCACACATGTACACCTCTGAAAACATAAACACTTGCCGACTCTGACAACATAAACAGCACCTTTGCTCAACATCTTCGATCTCCGCGCTTCAAATCTCCCAATTTTCAAGTACAATCAATCCTTCTCCTCGTTCCAACCCCCTTCTATTGAGGTTACCGCGTGAACGATACATAACTGCCTCTCTGACATCAACCTGACAGTTCTGGCAGCCAATCGAGTGCCTCCAGCCCTCCCTGCTCTGCCAGCCATGCTGCCGCCTCCCACAGCAACTCATCCTCCCCCATGCCGCCCGTGCCGCCCATGCCGCCCGTGCCGCCCATGCCTCCCCCACCACCCATGCCAGCCATGCCGCACGAGCCACCCATGCCACCCGTACCACTCAAGTCATCAAGCCCTACGCTCAAAGTGCGAGTGCATCGCATCACCGGAGTCTGCCCAGCAGCAACAGCAGCAGTGGTTGGAACCGCAGGACTGAAAGCGACATCAGAGGCCCACACAGAATTGCAGGCCATGCCCATGAAATCGCAAGTGTGACTCATGCTGGCTTGGATTTCAGCAGCCTGAGCTGCCTGCGCAGGTGGCATCTGGGGGATGTGGAACTGGTGCAGGTGCGCAGCAGCACTGCCTGAATGTTGCTCGTGGTTCGGAACGAGGTTCAGGAAGTGGTTGGGGATGGGAGGGAGGGAGGCGACGGGAGGGAGAGAGGCGACGGGAGGGAGAGAGGCGACGGGAGGGAGAGAGGCGACGGGAGGGAGAGAGGCGACGGGAGGGAGAGAGGCGACGGGATGATGCACGCTGGCTGGGGCAGTGCCGTTTGGAGAAGTGCCCATAGCGGCTGGTGGAGTGGTGAGAGAAGTGGTCAGCGGAGTGGGGTCAGGAGGAGTGGTGAGAGAAGGTGATGGGAGCTGTGGTTGCATAGCCACTTGAGAAGCCTGAAACTGTGCTGGTGGCATCTCAATCACAACAGCCTCTGGCTTGGCTTCCACTGCAGCCTGCGTAACACACCCTTGGGCTGGAGCTTTGAGCCTCATCTGAAGCACCACTGCTTGCTGCTGCTGCTGCTGCTGCTGCTGCTGCTGCTGCTGCTGCTGCTGCACTTGCTGCTGCTCCTGCTGCTGCTGCTGTCCCGGCCCTTGGGATTGCCAGGACCCACACTGACAGCACGGGGTTTCCAGCACAAGAGCGGTCTGTGACACTGCAACGGGCGGCGACGCAGCGGCGGGCGGCGGCATGGCAGCGGGAGACAGCTCAGAAGCGAGTGACTGTGGCAGGGCATGAGGCGACGTGCAATGCAGCTCTGCGGCTGTTGCTACTGTACCTACTGTCGCTGCTGTTGCTGTTGCTTCTGCTTGGTACGGGGTGTGGGTGGTGGTGATAGGGAGCAGTGGAGACGACAAGAACAGAAGCGCCTGGTTTTCTGCAACAGCAGGTACAACAGCAGGTGCAACAGCAGGCGCAACAGCAGGTACTACCACCGATGGTGTCACAGCGGCGGCTTGAGCTTGAGGTTGGAGCGGGCCCCACAGTTGCCGTTGTACCGATCGTTCCGCTTCCACTGCAATGCTTTCTGTGGTCTGAAACGGCACTGCTGCTACTGCCCCTGCTGCTGCTGCTGCTGCTGCCTTATCCGGTGCTACTGATGTGGCTGGGGTCTGAAACGACGCTCCTGATGCTCCTGTTGCTGCAGCATCAGATGGCACGCGATACTGTCCTGCTCCTGTGACTCGCTGCGAGCCCTGCAGCAGCTGACGTGGCACCATATCTTCCAGCAGCCCCTGCAGCTGACGTGGCGCTGAGTCATCAAACTGGTCACCCACCGCAGTCACAGCGGTGGGCACAAGAGCCGCACCCCGATCAGTCGCGCTGCTCCTGCTCATAGACTGCCTGTAACCACCAATGCCGCCAATCCCCCCGCCCCCCCCGGGGGAAGGCACAGGTGCCACACCTGAATCATTCCCGCTGCTCCTGCAAATAGACCGCCCGTAACCGCCAATGCCGTCACCCGACGCAGGGGCAGGCACAGCCGCTACAGATGCGTTGGTGGCGCTGCCGTTTCTGCTCATCGGCCGCCCGTAGCCGTCTATGCCGCCACCCGCCACGGCGCGCCAGCTGTCGTTCCTTTCGCTGCTCCAGTTGTTGCTCCTTTTGCCACCGGTGTTATTCCAAGCGTTCTTCCCTGCTCTGCTCCCAGCGTTGTTGTTGTTCCTTTCGCCACCGGTGTTATTCCAAGCGTTCTTCCCTGCTCTGCTCCCAGTGTTATTGTTGCTGCAGCTGGTGCTGAAGCTGGTGCTGCAGCTGGTGCTGCTGATCGGGCTGCTGCCGTCCCCGTGGGGGCTTGACAGGAGGTCGGCGCGGGAGAGATTTGAGCGCAGCACAGAGAGCAGCAGAGAGTGGGAGTCTGCAGGGGCACTCACAGGAGCATAAAGAGGAGCGTTTAACGGGGCATTGAACTGGGGGCTATTTTGAGGGGGGGTGCCTGAAAGGGCAGCTGCAGATGCAGATTGGGGGACGATGGGAGCAGAACTGGCAGTAACAGCACCGCAACCAGCGGCACCAGCGCCAGCTGTGCCAACACCAAGAGCACCAACATCAACACCAATGGAAACACCAGCACCAGCAGCGGCAACACCACCAGGAGCCCTCTCTCTAGCAATGGTGGTCGTTTCAAGGGCCTCGTGTGCAGACATCGCACCAGCACCCAAGGGAGGGGCAGCGACACAAGGAGGGGCAGCAGCAAAAGAGGCAGCAGCAAAACAAGGGGCAGCACCAAAAGAAGGGGCAGCGTTGCAAGCGGCAGGGTTGGCCGCAGCAGAAACAGCCAGACGGGTGGGGGACGAGAGCAGTGTAAGAGACTGCTGCTGCTGCTTCGGTTGCCACTGCTGCACCTGTTGTTCCTGCTGCGATTTCTGCTGGAATTGCCATTGCTGCTGTTGCTGCTCCCGTGGCTGCCACTGCTGCTGCAGTTGCCATTGCTGCTGCTGTGTTTGCTGCTGTTGCAGCTGCTGCTGCAGCTGCTGCTGCGGTTGCTGCCGCTGCTGGTGCTGCTGCGGCAATTGCTGCTGCTGAGGCAACGGCTGCTCCACAGTGCACCTCCCAAGATCCTTCCATTCCCCCTGGTCGCCGCTGTTGATCCACATAGATTCACAATCGGCGGGAGGAGAAAAGCTCAATTTTATCGGCTTGGGCGGCGTGAAGGAGTGAGTCGCGGCAGCACAGGTGAGTGATGCATGAGACGGGTGAGAGGCGGCAGGGGAAGCAGAGGACACGTGCGATGCGGCAGACACGTGAGAGAAGGGAGGAGTGTGAGAAGCAGGAGAGGCGTGAGGGGCAGGAGAGGCGTGAGGGGCAGGAGAGGCGTGATTCGCGGCAGAGACCGGAGACGCTTGAGAGGCGTGAGCCACGCGGAATCCCCCACAAACGAATTGCGGTTCAAAGGAGGGCCGGAGCCGGTGGGGGCGTTGGTATCCTTGATTCGAGTCCAAGGTTGGGAAATTAAAGTCCTGGGAGGCGTATCGTGCGCGGGGAGCAGGAGAGGGCAAGCACGGGTCTGACATTTGAGTCGACTCAAAAGTCACTGCGTGGGGAGCAGGAGAGGGCAAGCACGGCTCTGACATTTGAGAGGGCAAGCATGGCTCTGACATTTGAGAGGGCAAGCATGGCTCTGACATTTGAGAGGGCAAGCATGGCTCTGACATCAAGGAGGGGTCAGATTCACGCGATCGCTTGCCCAGAGATGTGGGTGTGGATGAGCGCTGCTGGTTCAGGCAGCACAGGGCGGAATTGGACTTCAGCACAGCTATGCACTCCTCTTGCTGCTGCTGCTGCGGCTGCTGTTGATGCTGCGATTGCTGCTGCTGCAGCTGTTGCGGGGGCTGCATCTGCTGCCTGTGGGAATGTGCTGGTGCAGCGTGCTGTGTGTGCGATGATGTGTGCTCGGCTGTCGGGAACCGTGAAGGGCCAGGAGAACTCATGTTCCCCTGCTGCTGCTGTTGCTGCTGGTGCCCTTGCCCCTGCTGCTGCCACTCCTGCTGCCCTTGCTCCTGCTGCTGTTGTTGCTGCTGCTGCTGTCCCTGTTGCTGCTGCTGCTGCAGCCGCTGCTGCATGTGCTGCTGCTGTACCAAATGCTGCTGCAACAAATGCTGCTGTTGTGACGGTGGCTGCTGTTCACCCACGATCTCTGTTTTTGTTGCATTCTCCGCCCAAACCCCAGTTAGGCCTGTTGCAGCAGCAGCTGCATCTGGTGACGGGGTGCAGTTCACACCCCCAGCATGACAAGCTGCATCTGGTGCTCCAGAAGACACTAACTGGAGGCCAATGGGCGGGTTACTGTGGTTGTGCTTGTTCAGGTACGACACTCGGAAGAAAACTATGGACGCGGGCGGCTTGCCTGCCGCCCGGAGGTGCGCTGCCGCGTCGAAACCGGGCGGCAGCTGCGACGGGTGGGTGGCAGGAGTGAGATGCAGTAGTTGCCAGTCGACCCGCTTGCGAGCCGGACAGGGGTGGAAGACGGTGGGGGGAGAGGCGGCGGTTGGGGTGGCAGTGCTGGCATCAGCAGCATTATCAGTGTCAGCGCTGGCAGGCGGAGGGAGGCACGTGGAGCGCGCACAGCGGAAGTACGACCTGGCGAAGGGGGAGAGCAAGGGCAGGAGGGTGGGGTGGGCAGGGGATAGAAGGAGACGCTGAGATCACAGAGGAGTGAGAGCTGGCGGACGGCGGCACGTGGAGCGCGCACAACGGAAGTACGACCTGCAGAACGGGGAGAGCATGGAGAGGGGAGAGAAGGGGGAGGAGTGGGGGAAGGTTGAGAGGAGTGGGAAAGGGGGGGGCAGGGGGGCGAAAGAGAAGGGATGGGAACCAAAAGGGGCCAGATGCGATGATTTGGGGATGGGAAACAGAGGGAGTGACAAGGGGGTAACGGCAGCACTGTAGCAAGGTGAGGGGACCGACAGGCGGACAGGCGGGGAGGCGGACAGGCGGACAGGCGGACACAGGGCAGACACAAGCGGACAGGAGGACTACCTGTTGGCCCCTTATGAAGCATACCTGTGGCAGGCGGACTTGACGAGTCTCTTCTCGCCGTACTTGAACCAGCACTGCCCATCTTCCGGCGTCACGCCCTGGGCCACGTGCCTTGTAGAGAGGGTGTTTTTGAGACGCGTCACAAACACCCTCTCTACATCTGGCTCCAAGTCACACTCACGCTCACCTGCGGCAGGAGGACTTGACGAGTCGCTTCTCCCCGTACTTGAGCCAGCAGTGCCCATCTTCCGGCATCACGTCGTGGGCCACGCGGCTCAGCTGCTCCGCGTCCACTGCTGCCCACTGCGGGAACAGTGTCGCGAACGCAGGGGCGCCGCTGCTGGCTCCCGGATTCGCCCCTTCCGCAGCGTGACAACCGCCACTGCCGCCGCCGGCGCTCGCTGCAGGAAACGCGGTGGTCGAGAGCTGTTGGGCGGACCCCTCTTGACGCAGCGCCAGTGGTGCATTCCCCGCCGAATTCGCCGTGCTGGTCACGTTACTGCGAGCCGTTCCGCCGGCGCCGCACCCAGCACCGCTTGCAGTTCCAGCACCACTGGCAGTCCCAGCACCGCTTGCAGTTCCAGCACCACTGGCAGTCCCAGCACCGCTTGCAGTCCCAGCACCACGGGAAGTTCCCCCGGCGGTGGCAGCGGCCTGGGGCTGCCGTGGCGCCCTCATCATGCTGCTGGCGCCAGTGCTGCTGGTGGTGTTGTTGCTTGTGGTACTAGCAGCAGGGCCTGTGAGAGTGGCTCCAGTGGCCCCAGTGTGCTTGCTGCTGCTGCTGGGTGCCATGATGATCGCGCCCGTCAGGTAATCCACAGCCATAAAACGCCCTGGTGAACGGTCTACTATAGTAGACGAGAGAGGGGAGAACGCGGACCGGATCGGAGTTTCAGAATGCAAGAGTCCTAGTAGCAGGTCTGTTTGGATCTTTCCATCCCAACAACTTATTGAAAGTCCGAGTCGGTTCACAGGCTGTTAGGCGCTTCAAGGTCACACGAGCAGTAGTACTTATCAAATCGTACTCGCGTTATCCCCGGTTTGCAGCGGCGCTGCGGCTTCTTGGAACGGGGATGGCTAGCCGCGTGACCTCCTCTTGGGGGGGAGAGGGGCGACAGAAGTAGTCGCAGTTCCGAACTCCGCATAGTACTAGTGGCGGAAACGCGGCACCTGATCGAACAGAAACCGCAGAAGTGGTTCTACTCCGGGCTTCTTGGGGAGTCAGCAGAAGAGTTTGAACCGCAGAAAGCTGAGTTAGCAAGTAGCTGCTGCCTCATCGTCAAGTATTTTCAAACCGCGGGGCTAGACGGCCAAATAAACAGAAAACCGCGTGATATTACACGGACTACTAGCCTCTCGCAGAAGCTGAATCTGGAAGAGTTTGAACCGCAGCTGGAAGCTGAGTAGTGCCCCGAGTCAGGAATTCTCTTCTCACTTCAAGGCTACCATAAGGCTCCGAGGTCAGCCAGACAGTCAGCTGTCGACAACTGGAAGCCAGCTAGTCCTAGTACCGTAAACTGGCAGTGCTTTGGTACGTCCCGACGCTGCAAGGTGACTTTTGAGTCGACTCAAAAGTCTCCAAGGTCAGCCAGACAGTCAGCCGTCGACAACTGGAAGCCAGTTAGTCCTCGTACCGTAAACTGGCAGTGCTTGGTACGTCCCGGAGCTGCAAGAAACAACTTGTTTAGGACATCTGTCTTACCAGCTAGAGTACACGTGTACACGTAGACTATACGAACATCTATCTTACCAGCAGCAACAGTTCAGCCTGATGATTCAGCTTGTCGACCAGGGTCGTGTACGCGGATTTACCTACAGTACCGTGTAATACACCGTAAATTGACGGATCCCAACTACAGTAAGTAGCACTTTATGCGTACTCGTCGAGTGGAGCAGTGCTCTGACTGCGACTGCGAGGATCCCACCCAGCAATAAGCGGGGGAGGAGAGGAGGGAGGAGGTTCGAGAGGGAGAATGGAGGAGCAGTGCTTGTGCTCCGATGGCGTGCGTGCACTGGCAGAAAAGGTTCTCACACGATGGAACAGTATCTGTTTTTCTGAACGGGAAAGCGTGCGTGCACGCAGCATCATGCTGTGACGAGCATGGCTGGAGGGAGCGCAAGGATGGAGTTGTTGAAGCGCGAAGCGAGCATGCCAGACACGCTTTCTTCTTAAATCTCCTCCCTCTCCCCCTTCTCTCCTGAGTCAAAGCCTCTGCTGTAAGTGGCAACCTCGGAGGAGGAAAAGGGGGAGGGCGGGGGAGTCGCAGAAAAGCCAACGAGAGGAACGGGGGTCGGAAATATCGACGGGCTGGCATGATGGGGCGTGATGCTCTTCGGTTTGGTGCTGCCGCCATGCTGAACACACAGCTTCGGCTTGAGGCAGCGTGCGGAATGGCTTGAATGATGAGCGGGCGGAACAACCCCGCCTCCGGTCAGTTGATCGCGGCAGCTCGAATAACTACAGCGAAATATTCATAAATCGTTCATGATTAGTGATGAGTCGTGATGGCCAGACCGTGTGACAAATCAGTGCAGGTACACCGTCAGATTCAGGTCCCGGGCCCCGGCATGTGGCATGACAAGGCAACTCAACAGCAGCAGCAGCACATCTCGCTCACCTCACCAGCACTGTGCTTTTTACAGTGTATTGAGACGAAAGCGACCAAGAGTCCAAGTTTTGGAACGGATCTCGGCGGAGGCGGTAGATTCGCTAGTTACAATCAGACAAATTAACGACATAAGTCAAAAGTCAGAGAATGTCGCTAGGTATTCGACGAATGTCGGTTCTGAGTCAAAATAGGCAGTGCTGGTTCAGTGACTAGGAGCGTGAGGGATCGTCTCATATGCAGATGGATTGGCTAGCGACAGCTCTGGATGTTGAACCGATCAAAGTGATTGGCTGACGACTGTGGTGGTACAGGCAGCATGCCACATGATCTCTTCAAGAGATCTTTTTACCCGAGCAGCATGCCACGTGAGACCCTTGGCACCAAAGATTCGGGAAAAAATGCCATTCCTAACCAGCATGGGTGTAGACAATATTATTTGTAAAAAAACAGGGGGTACAGTCACAGCAAAGGGTGTCTCAGGTGATTGATAAAACTTTTAGTATCAGTAACAATTAACTGGTAAAAAACCACGCGTTTAGTCATAGATGAAACTCCTGCCAAAAGAGAAATAAAACACAAAACGAATCTGGATGCAAGCGCTCGTTTTGCGACGCCCCCACTCCCTTGCCGCCACTCCTATGGAACGTTCGCGCTGCCCTAACAAAGATGAAGACAGCGATAGTGGTCTCTAGTGCGTGAGCCTCTCCGGCCATTGGTCGTCGCACAGCCACGTCGATCCGCTTCCCCGGCAGCATCACACTATCTTCCATTGTCACCACCGCCCTTGACACCTTAGAGATCCTCGCCACCGCAAACTGCACCTCTTCGTGTTGGTCGATATGCAAGGGCAATGCCAACAAATACCTGAGGCGTCATCTGTACATTTGCAATGACCATGATTGTTGCGTGGTCGATTTAGGAGCAGCGGTATATATTTGACTATTTGAAGTGACCCTCACGATTTCGGCCCGACCATGTACCATTATAAACTTTTGGCAGCCCTACGAAATGTATACTGCTGCCCGTTGTCAGAATATTATCTTATTGTTCTAGCCTGTAGTGGGGTGCTCTATAGCGAGTACAACCCTTCTAGGGTTTGCTATTTGTATCCTCATTCTTGCTAGTTCAATCCTCTTTCTTCCTTCTAATTTTGACATGCTATCAGAGCAGGTCGATCCCCTTGGATCGATCCTGTGGGTGTGTCCCCACCTTGCTTCCGCTGCTACCTTTCCTTCCCGCCGTGCGCCCCGAGGCGCGCGGCGATTTTTTTCCTTCCCGCCGTGCGCCCCGAGGCGCGCGGCGGTTTTCTGCCCGCCGTGCGCCCTAGGGCGCGCGGCGGTTCTTTGCCCGCTGTGCGCCCCGAGGCGTGCGGCGGGCGTCTGCTCTACGTCGCGGCCCCGCCCTACGTCGGGCTTCTCCCCTACGTCGCGGCCCCGCCCTTCGTCGCGACCCCGCCCCTCGACGCGGCCCCGCCCTATGTCGCGGCCCCGCCCTGCGTCGCGGCCCCGCCCCTCGAAGCGGCCCTGCCCCGACCGTCGCGGCCCCGCCCCACCTTCGCGGGCGTCTGCCCTACGTCGCGGCCCCGCCCCGACCGACACGGCCCCGCCCGCGTCGCGGCCCCGTCCCTTCGAAGCGGCCCCGCCCCTTGTCGCGGCCCCGCCCTACGTCGCGGCCCCGCCCTGCGTCGCGGCCCCGTCCCTTCGAAGCGGCCCCGCCCCTTGTCGCGGCCCCGCTCTCCTCTCAGGTCCGTCGTGGGCCCCACTCTCCCCCCCCCCCCCCCCCCCCCCCCCCCCCTCCCCCTACCATTTCCCGTCGCCCGTCGCGGCTCCTTCGGGGGCCGCAAGCGGCCCCCTCAGGTCGCCACGACGGACGACGGGAGGGGCGAGCTGTGGGGTGGCGGGTATGGGGGTGGCCGGTGTGCCTTCCTCCCTTTCTCCTCCTCCTCCTTCGTCTCCCACTGCTGTAGCTGTCGCTGAGGGGGGTGGTTGTGTGGGAGACTGGGTTTAGGGTTTTAGGGGGGTGCGTGGGAGTAGAGCTAGTGGTGTAGCAGTGGGTGTGTATCAGGGGGGTGGGACTGTGTGCGGGAGGATGAGCAGAGGTTGCCAGTTTGTCGTCAGCAGCACCTGTAGTCCGGGGCGCTGTCCCGGTAGCCCAGTCGTAGCCAGCTGTGCCAGCCGCCCGTGGGTCCGTTGCCCGTCCGCCGCTATTTGAGCCGCGGGGCCTGTTACCCCTGTAGTCCGGGCGCTGTCCGGTAGCCGCTGTGCCAGTCTGCCTCCTGTTGCCCGTGTGTCTGCAGCTTCAGCCGTCGCCTCCTGTCTCCTCTCCCCTCACTCTCCCTCCTCCTCCTCACTTGCCCGTTGTGACTACCACTAGCTTTGCTTATAATTGTGAACTCTAAACTATTTCTTCTTGAACTTGTGCTCAGAATGTGTGGTGACATTGTGATCCACCCTGAGCTTGTTTTGCTTTGCCTGCTCTGCTGATTACACCCCACTTTGGCTATGGGGGTGTGTCAGAATATTATCTTATTGTTCTAGCCTGTAGTGGGGTGCTCTATAGCGAGTACAACCCTTCTAGGGTTTGCTATTTGTATCCTCATTCTTGCTAGTTCAATCCTCTTTCTTCCTTCTAATTTTGACACCCGTTACTAAAATTTGAAGGTTTCATCCAAATATCATCATTCGAACGTGGTGTGGAATTTACGCGGCACGAAAAGATGGTTAAGTTTAGCAACCGTATAGGCCTTCGGGAAGAGAATTCAGAGAATACAACGTAATGCTGCTATCCGGTTATGACCGTATCTGTGGGCGAAAATCATGGCATGGATGTTTTCATAACCAAACTGGTCAAAACTACGGTCGCTTGGTTTGGGCGATTGCCCAATCGGTCATTATCATGGTCATTTGGCAGGAAAATATCGCATCTCTCGCCATTGTATTACTCCCTTCGTATTCGCATGCCCCGACCAAATGGTAGGAGTATTTGGTTGGTCACTGCGATGTTACACGCAATAAATGATTTTTGTCCATTCCGCATATGTATTCAAGAAGTAATTTATTGGACAGTTTAAAGTAGTATACATTACATTGTTGACGTATTGAGATTTGGCGAGTGTTATGAGTTGTAAATCAAGAATTGTGCGGAAAACGAATAGCGAAGATGTGACTGAATGAACTGATGATACAATGAAATCACTTAATAATATGGTGACTAATA